TTTTTTTGATGAAAGTTAAAGGTAATCCTCCCTATATATAATTCCCGAATGCGCTGAGCCTACGTGGCTGTTTCTGGTGCTTCGGAATCCTATTTGGCGAAGAATCATGCTTTGTAATTAGGTTTAGACAAATAATATTGATATATTAATAATTAATAATCTAGGTTCGGGTATTTCATAAATATCATTTAGCTAACTTAGGTATTTTAATGTCACTTGTACTAATATAACCCTTTAATTCTTTGTAATTTTATATATTGAGACACTAAGTGACTAATATATCCCTGAATTTTGATTTGTTTCCTTCAATAAGCTATTGAATTATAAATGTATTTTAAAAGTTGATAACTTTTGTATTTCTTATCGGATTTACATATATAATATATCAAATTAATCATCTTTTGATGATCTTCGATTTGACATCCATATTGTATATATGAAATAAATAAATTATATTTATCTTTATAATAATAAAAAATAATAATATTTATTAAAATTCATTAGAAAAATAAAATTATTTCTCAATTGATATATTTATATTTAATGTAGTTATATATTGAAAGTTAAAAAAATAGTATAATATAACAAAAGTAAGTCAAATAAAAAGTGTCATAATAAATATATAACAATATATATATCCCCCTTATATATAATTCTCGAATGCGCTGAGCCTACGTGGCCGTTTCTGGTGCTTCGGAATCCTATTTGGCGAAAAATCATGCTTCGTAATTAGGTTTGGACAAATAATCTTGATATATTAATAATTAATAATCTAGGTTCCGGCATTCCATAAATATTATTTAGCTAACTTAGGTATTTTAATATCACTTGTACTAGTATACCCTTCAATTATTTGTAATTTTAGAAAGTGAGACACTAAGTGACTAATATATCCCTAACTGTTGATTTGTTTCATACAATTAGCTATTGAATTGTAAACGTATTTTAAAATTTGATAACTTTTGTATTTCTTATCGGTTTTACATATAATATATCAAATTAATCACCTTTTTATGATCTTCGATTTGACATCCATATTGTATATATGAAATAAATAAATTATATTTATCTTTAAAATAATAAAAAATAATAATATTTACTAAAATTCATTAGAAAAATAAAATTATTTCTCAGTTGATATATTATGTTTAATATAGTTATATGTTGTAAGTTAAAAAAATTATTATAATATAACACAGGTAAGTCGCACATAAAAATGTTATACTAATTACATAATAATATATATATTTTTTAAAAGGTCCTTAAAATTTTCAACTACTTTTTCTTATTAATTTTAGATTTTAAGAAAAAAATTAACAAGCACCCGTGTAATACACGGGACTTATACTAGTATATATATATTCTTATAAATGTATTTAAATTTTCAAACTACTTTTTCTCGTTAATTTTAGATTTTAAGAAAAAAATTAGCAAGCACCCGTGTAGTACACGGGTATTGTACTAGTAAACTGTTATATTTGGGTAAGTTTTTAACCATATTTGTTTAACTATTATATCATACATTCAATCGATCACATGCACATGAACAAATATAAATAAAATTTTTTATATATTATATGTGTGTATATATAGTATTTAAAATCACGAGTGATATAATGAGCATATCACATTTTGTATAAAATTTACCATTCGTAAAAATGTACGATATAAATTTAAACTATTAACTTACATATTAATCTTTACATTGATTACGATAATGTAATTTTTTGCAATCTTTGCTGATTCAGACAATTAGTTAGATAATACAATATTAAAATTATTATTATAGCAAAAAAAATTATTATTATAGCAATTGCGCATAAAATTTAAAGGGCTTGGTTATGCCAAAAAAATCATTAACTAATTTTGATAACACACTTGCTTGATAAGCAAAAAAAAAAAAAAAGAAAAAATAAAATAAAAATATTTTTAAATAAAGACTTTGAGAAAAAACTTAGAATAAAATGTCATTTAAGGCGACATTAGGATTAATTAGTAAAAACTATTATATAGTAAAATAGATAAATTATAACCACTTGATTATTGTCGACTGTAACGAAAAAGAGCAGAAATATGAAAAAAGTTATTTAAATTCTGTACCAGTAATTTTATATTTAAATATAACTACTACTAATATTCACTAATTATAAACTCACACTAAAGGGTATATGGAAATTATATACTTACTAAGATTCTATTAAAATTTTTTTCTAACTATTTGTTTTAATATCAATATTAAATGAATATGGACTAAATAATTATATCATGAATTAAATTAATAAAACATTAGTTAAAATATTTTTTTCTTTTATTACTACATATTTATATTAGACAAAAAATTAAGACTAGACTAGAGCTCGGGTGAGCCACTCCTCGCTCCGCCCAAATTGTGAATGTGCGAATACTAACATGATGAAATAGAATTTGTGATGACAAATCAAACAGTTTCGGCAGACGTTAACTGCCGTCATATATGTTGACCGCAGCCTCTACGGTAATTCTGTTAAGTATGACGGAACGAAAACGTCTTCCGTTGAGAGATGAGAGAGAGGGTGTGTGTACAGCGTGTGTTTGGTTGGCTGTACTGTAATCCATAAATCCATAAAAGAAACAAAAATGTCAATATAGAAAAAAAAAATTATAATCCTGTTACGGAAGAACGGTTTGTAACCGTTATATCAACTATCTATATCGATTACATAATAATTTAACGGTTAGAAATTCCGACGAAATGATTTTGTAATATGATTGTAGCATTTTTCATTATTATATATATTGAAATTGATTGATATTCAGAGAAAGGGAAGGCGAAAGAATCGCTTTGGCAATAAGCCATTAAAAAAAAAGTTCAGACCTCTCTCTCTCTCTCTATCTCTCCATCTCTCTCATTCACATCAATTGATATATACTGGCAACATTTTGGAGAGAGAAAGCAAAACACAATCAATCGTGCTTGCGCGAGACGAGGCGACGGCCATGGCTGAGTCGAGCAGTGATTCCGTTTGCCTCGATGTAGAGACGATTTACCTCGGTGGGAAGGTGTTTTTTCCTTTATTCAATTTTTTCCCTTTTTTTTTTTTTGAAAAAATTGTGTGGTTCTTGTTCAGCTTGGTGCTTGATAGATGTATGATGTTCGTCCCTTGCCCTAGCTACATGTTCAAGGGTTTTATTATTCTTAAATAAATATGTATTGTTTGTAGCCTGTTAGTTGAATGCTGTGCTGCGTTTCCGATTACAGCCGGTTTAATCCCCTTTTTTTTCTGGTTTCTTTTCGTTCTTTTTGTTGCCTGTATTATGGAGCTCTTTCTTGTCAATCTACATTCTATTTTGTTTTTTGTTTTTTTTTTTTAATTAATTTTAGATTGGCTTCTAGATTGTATATGCCATGTTGTTAAATGGCTTGTCCTTCAATGTTGGCTATGAAAGAAAATGGGTTTAATGTTAGTTGTTGATCTTTCCTTGAAATGTGGAATCAAGAAAAGTCTTCGTATTTGCTTCGAAAAGATTTGCCTTATTGATGTGTTGAGAGATTGGTTGAATTCATCAGAGCAACTTAAAAGGATGATGAGGTTGTGCTTCTTTGTTTATTATCTTCTTTAGTTGCAACGAAAAGCAGTAAAGAGAGTCGACTATGTCGAGACGTTATGTCCCCTTACCCGTGGAATCAGATACCATTCTTTTTAGTTATATTACGTCATGACGGTACTGATCTAAGTATTATACCTTATCATAAATGGAAATGAATTTAACTGTTCTGATGCTATTCCATTTTTAATTGTAATTCTTCAATGTATTTGGTTAAATCCGATTTATCGCATAGAACTTTCTTGAACTATTCTAAAAGTACACCTGGAGCTATCTTTACTTCAACTATCCTGCTTCCTTAATAGAGCTCAGTTGTTGCTCTGTCTATTGACTCTATTCTGTTTCTCTTGCCAGTGGTTATAAGTGGAAATCATAGCTTTGTTATTGCATCTGCTAGCTCAATAAGTTCCATCTTATGCATTGCTTTATTTAGATCTGAATATGATCATGTAAAGTTCTCTATGATTGGAAACTGGTACCTACCCTACTTTGACTTCCGTAATAATATTTTGTCAGCAGTCTTCCCAAAAGGTTGGTGGCTGCACATGGTTTACTTTGTCTTTAAGAGTGAAGAAAGTGAATGTTCTAGTGATTTCCTTGAAGGATGACCAATCAAATTCTAATGATACTTTTTCCTTAACTACCAGTTTATGTTTTCATGGAAAAAATCTTAACGATACTAGTGGCCGTTTTCCTTTATTACCGTTAATACAATTTTTGAATGTATTTGTCTTTATTATAATTAATTCTGAGCCTTCGCTGATTATTTGTTATTTATATTTTCATGCAGGAGCATATTGTACGTACTGGTAGTGGCTCCGTATCCGTTATAGTTTATGGTGACCCAGATAAGCCAGCCCTCCTCACTTATCCTGATTTGGCCTTAAATCGTGAGTAATGGATCATACATTCTAGTTCTCTAATTTTCTTCTTATTGTCATTGTTTGATAAATTATCTGTATGACATCTAGAAAATACCTTTTTTCTTGGTTTTTTGGGCAGATATGTCATGTTTCCAAGGATTGTTTTTTTGTCCGGAAGCGGCGGCATTGCTGCTTCATAATTTCTGTGTTTATCACATTAGTCCTCCAGGGCACGAGGTTTGCGAATGCTTGAACTTGTGCTGACTGCATAGACAGATATATCCTTTTTAGTTTCTTCTTTAATATCTGAATATTTGTGCATTATTTATGTTGACTTGAATGATGTTTTACAAAACAAATTTAATGGGGCCCTGATAAGAGTTCTTACAGTTGGGGGCTGCTTCAATTTGTCATGATGATCCCGTGCCTTCCGTCGATGATTTAGTAGATCAGATCCTTGAGGTGGTTAATCATTTTAGGTAATAATATTAGATTGCACTTATGTCATTTTCTTAACATGTATTTTTGTCCATATTTACGATTTTGCTTAAAAATGTATTCGTAATAAATGAAATTTAATTTGGCCAGGCTTGGTGCAGTTATGTGTATGGGTGTACTGGCCGGTGCTTACATCCTTACACTTTTCGCTGTATGGGATTTTTTTTTTTTTTTTTTTTAAAATTATTATTATTATTTCACCACAACCGTTTCATGTCCTGTTGTTTGCTGGACTAAGCTATTTTATTTATTTTAACAGATGAAATTTCGGGAGCGGGTTCTTGGTTTGATCCTTGTTTCTCCTTTGTGCAAAGCACCATCTTGGTCAGAATGGCTCTGTAACAAGGTCAGACATCTACAACTTTTCATACCTGCTGTCAGAATTTCAATTGATAAATTAAAATTTATTAATATGCTACTTTGCAGGTGATGTCGAATTTGCTGTATTACTATGGTATGTGTGGATTGCTGAAGGAATGCTTGCTTTATCGTTATTTTAGCAAGGTACTTTTAGTACTTTTCTTCAAACAAATATTACCTCCTTGATCACCCATTGTGATTTTTATTTTTTATTTTTTGGGATAAGAGTCAATATATTTTCTTCTTATTGTAACAGGAAGTCCGTGGCAATGCTGAAGTTCCAGAGTCAGATATTGTTCAAGCGTGCAGAAGAGTAAGTGCATGATTGCATGTAGTAGCGCTATTTTTTTTTTTTATTTTTTTTTTTGCATGTAGTAGT